AAACTAATACAACACCTGCCTGAATAGGCTCACAGACTCATATAAATAGTTAGGATTGAATCAAGTGAGAAGGTTGGACTAAAACTTCAGGAGCCAGAAACCCAAGGTTCAGAGACTCGGTCTGACCACGGTGATGCAGCAGCGAGTGTCACAGAAGAGCCCCAGACTTACTAATTGGTCTCCACACCAGCCCCCTGTCCTCACCACCTGTGGGTGAGCAGGAGGTCAGGCCTAGAACCCTGGTCCTGGCCTGCGATACTTTTGGTTGCTGGGAGAGGCGATATCATCTGAGTGTGAGCCTGGAAGCATTTACAGAACTCTGGGTTTGTTTACCCAGCAAAGAGAAAATATTTGGTATAAAAAACATAACTCTAGTATCTACATGTCTTCACAGGGGCTCTCTGAGATGAGCAGTCAGTGAAGCAGCTACAGCTGAGAAAATCTGTGGGATTCAAGACCTTGAGAGGAGGGGGACAGGGGTCCATGCCGTAGTGTACAAAAATGGCCCCCCGATTTCTTCTACTGTGATTGCTCCTTTGGGAAGGAGCCCTCTTTGCTGAGGACGGTTGCCCTTGGTGAACACACTGTGGGGCACTGTTCAGCTCACCACAGAGGTCTCATTTGGGGTAGGGAAGATCTGAGGTGCACAAGGTAGGTCCCGAGGCTCTATATGGCAGGCTGCAGGGGAGAGGCCTTCTCTGGGAGTTTCTAAACTAAAACTTTGGGAGAAGTTCCTCTGGTGGTGGCAGCTGACGTAGGAGACTCCAGAGAAGCACAATCTGGGGTGAGAAGAAACCAATCTGGGGTGCGAATATGATACCCAGAGCGAGGAGATGCAGGAAAAGGGGACTTCTCAGGCCCCACAGTTCCACATTCCACTGCCTCTGAGGCCCAGCTGCTTCCCTGCCACTTCCCTAGTTATCAAAGCCATCAGCAGTCTTCCAGAATGTTCCTCTTTTTTGCCTAAGTAATTTGAGCTGTTTTTTAATTTCCTTCACTAGAAAGGAAGGAAGCACGTGAGAGTGGATTGCCTATTTCACCCCTCTCTACAACTTCACATTAGACAAGGGTTTACAACTATCTAGCAGTTTCCTACCCCACCCCACCAGGGGCATCTCTGGTCAGCGTTACTCCCTACAGGCCTGACAGGGCTTCCGAATCCTTCTACAACATTCATTCAAGGTGGCAAAACATTTATGCCCCAAGTGAATCCTATGTGCCATTCCCAATTTACATAACAGACGTGGGTCAAAAATCAACTAATACATCCAAGCACAGACATCCAAGGTGCTGTAACCAGGAAATGACTGAACCAAGACAAAAAGTCAGTGGTTCCCAACTTCACACTCAGCATACCCCTAAGAGGTCTGCAGGCTCAGAATCGCTGTCCCTGAGTTAGGTTCACATATACCCCCAGGACAGCGTCTCATGATCCTAGATTACTATAACATAGGCCTTCTCTTTCTTTTCCTTGCCTCAGCCTCCTCACCACCACTGGAGATGTTAGGATTAGCTCAGGACATCCTTTCTGCCTAACAGAGAGATGGCCTCCAAATCCCAGCTCATGTGCTGTGCCCAGTTAAAAGTCTTGAGTGTCACCCAGCACCCCCACCCCAACTGCTCTCAAGCACAGTTTCCATGGAAGTTCCCAAAGGATTTTCAGATTCTCTGTGGTCTCCTCTCTCCCTACACTCTAAACCCCCAGCAAATCTCACTGTCATCCATAACCCTGCCACAGCAGAGTTGGGGCGGGGCAGGGGCGGGGTGCTATAGTTATTGCTGCCATGGGTTTAGTTTCTATTGTACTTCCCAACCTGAGTTATGATTTACTCTTTTGACATTATTTCTGGCTTAGCCTCTATGCTTTGGGCCCTGAGTTAGGTGTCAAAAGTTCTGTGCTGGACACCATTTTTCTATTTTCCCCAGGAGACTCAGCCCTTACCGCAGAATCTACAACTTACTAAGTCTTATCATTTCTGCAAACTAAGGGCTTAAGCGTTGTAGCATAAACAAATGGCTTTGTGGTTGTATCTTTACTTCTCAGTTCACATGATTAAGCAGGAGGAACAGAAAGAAAGGTTTGGGCGGGTTAATTCAAGCTACATGATTTCACAGGTGGTTTTGGATTTCTGACTATCTCCTGGAAAGCCAAGAGTCGGCTGTTCCCTTGGAGATGGACACAAATTTAATGAAAGCCAACCACAAAGTACAAACTAGGGACAACCAGACAAGTCCAACCTAAATAACACTGCTAAAGCTGCTGCTACTCATGCAATGTCAAGGCTAGATTGAACATTCTCATCACCAGGTCAAGATTGCCCAGTATAGAGGGATCTCCCTGGTGGCGCAAGGGGTTAAGATAGCACTATGAAGCTATCTGCAGCCACTGCAGCATGAGTTCGATCCCCAGCCATCAGGTGACCCACATGGCGCAGTAGACCTCTCCTGTCTCACCCACTGCTCCCCTCAGCAGTGTATTTCAGTCAATCCATCTGTTCTGCTCCCCACTCTGTCTCTGGTGAATCCTCTCACCCCCCCACCTCTGGCCTGTACCCCAGTTCTTGTATGCATACATAAATAAATTTTTATTAAAAAAATTACAGTATGGAGCTGTAATTCTCTGTATTTTCTGTATAGTGTGTACTGGCCTGGTTTCCTCCGAAATCTGACCACCATTTTCAAGGGCTACCAATCCTACCCTTAGCCAAGTGTGACCTCCACTGACAGAAGGATCCATTACTTAAGAAATACAAACATGTCGATCTAAATGCCATTGGAACTTCAAACACAGACATAGTTCACCCAGACTTGGCTCCAAAGAGATACACAGGAGTCCCACCAGCTCACCAGGCTCTTGGGAACTCAAACAGGCCTGGGAAATGCAGGTGGGCAATGATACTGAGGGTCAATACCAGGCAAAAGATGGTGTTAATGCAGGTAAACTGGGTCCAGGCTGTCACAGGTAAGGCTCATTTGCCCTTCTAGCTTTTCAACAAAAACAAGTAAGCAGAGGCATGCTTACTAATGGAATTTGAGATAAATATCTGGGCAGGCAGAATGGACAATCACAACGATCAAAGGAAGAATCCTGTTCTTGTTTTGACCACTGTGATATTCTGGGTTTCCAAAGATGTCTGTTTAGCTGGTTCAATACTTTCCGTTTAAATCTGAATGGTCTCCCTGCCATTGCAGCTGTCACCACCATCAATCTCTGCTGTGGCTGAACATGTCATCTTTACTAAGGAGATTGTTCATTTCCCCAAAAGTTCTCCTTCTTCTAAAGATCTATTATAACAAAGATTTTTTTTTTTTCTTTAAGAGCCTCAGGCTCCACTCCAAGGAAAAGTGTTTCAAGTCACAAGCCCACCATCAGCTGTGTCTCTGAAACCAGAGGCAAGGCACTGCCCTGTCCAGTTCCACCTCCCCCTTTGGGAAGGCAAAAGAGTTTGCTCCTCAGGATCACGGCTCCTGACAATGGTCAATGCCACACCCCAACCTCCTCCTCTTCAATTCTTAAAAACATCCTCAGGACGCACTTTACCTTTGCCAAATGCAGGGATTGCAAGCTCTTCTTTGGCTTCTAAGAGAAGCCAAAGGATACTTTTGGGATACTTTTGCATCCCAAAAGAAGAGATAAAATACTAAGAGGTTATTACCACAGATAGGGGCCTTTGACAGCAAACTCTGGAAAACAGAACCATTCCACAAAGAAAAGTTTACAAATTCCACAAAAGAGCAAAGTCTCTATTTGGTGCTCCCTGAGAGACTGTCTTGGGAAATCAAGGGAGGAGGTGTCTAATCCCAGATCTAGTGCCAATTAGCTATAATGACTAACAGGTGGTGGGGTCGCTTGCTTCATCTATAAAATGTTCATGGCCCCCATCCTGAGACTGCAGCTGTGAAATCCTGAGCAGAGATGTTAAAAAATTCCCTTTTGAATTTATTCCAGAGTTTGTGGCAGTTTTGCAGGATCTCCATTCTTCTCCCTCATAAAAAGAACAGCCATAATGGCTCCTCGCCTGTTGTTCTGACTTCTGCAGCAATCACACAAGGGTCCACTGGGCTCCATGTCAGGTGGCAGCAGACAGGCAGAGACAGACCAGAGTAACTAGAGAAGGGACCAGAGTAACTAGAAGGACCCCCGGCCCCCAGCCTGCTTCTGCAGATGCTAGTGGTGTGAAACACCAGCCATGCCCGCTGGTACTCTCGTTACTCAAGCGTGAATTGCACACTCCTAATCCTTCCTGCACTAACTCCCCCTTTCCAAAGTCAGTTCCTCAGGGAAATGCTGATGTTCTCCTCAGCCTCTGGGTAGGGCAGCAGACAACTGCCGCCTAAAACTGGTTAGCCAGTCATAAAAACCAACATATTGAGTTATGTCTGTTTTTTTAAATAGAAAATAGGATGAATTAGAAAATATTATTGTGCCACACCCTGTAGAGAGAAAAAACATACAGGGAAGCTTTTTGTTTTCGTTTTATACTTATATATAGTTTACATATACTTATACATAAGCTTTATACATATCTAGTAGGTAGAGGTCTCTATTCTAGGTCTTGATCAAAAGGTGACAGAGAGGGGCCTCCATCGTGGAGCAAGCGGTTAAGACGCAACCTAGGAAGCTCACCGCAGCCACTGCAGCACAAGTTCGATCCCGGGCCAGGGAGTAACCCACATGGTGCGGCAGACCTCTCCTGTCTCACCTCCTGCTCCCGTAAGCAGTGCATTTCGGTCAGTCTGCCTGTTCTGTTCTCCACTCTGTCTCTGGTGAATCCTCTCACCACCCAAAACTCTGGCCTGTACCCCGGTTCTTGTATGTATAAATAAATCTTTAAAAAAAAAAAAGTGACAGAAACCCACAGACCTGAAACAATGGGATCCGACTCTGGGGGGTGAAGACCGCACACACCCATTCCCACCTCCCTCCCTGATAGAGGAGGATGCAAGAGCTAGCACAGGGACCCAGCACCAAGCACCCATCGCAATGCTGCAAAACAGACCTGACTGGAGCACAGCTCACAACTTCTCTCCCACAGGGCAGTACTTTCCATAAGGTACAAAACAGGACGCTCCACAACAAAAAAGAAGACAACCGGCAACAGCCTTGCCTTAAAAGGCATCTCGCTCCAGGGAGGGAGGCTCAGCATAAGGCAGCCAGCGCATACCTGGATGCTGAAAACGCAAAGCCTTTGGCTCCTGGCTCTTTCTTCCCGGATAGGGGCTGATTGGGCCAACACCAAGTGGGCTAGAACTGGAGAATGCAGGGTCCTCCCTCTCACGCTAGCCCCTCCCCGCCCCGGCTTTTAATTTTTTTTCTTTATTTTTAGATAGTATGTTCCCCTCACCCCATTTTCCGTAGGAAGCACCAAAGCTTGCATTGCCCAGGTAAGCCCCCAGGCAGGAGCGCAGCCAGCCCGCGCCGCACCCGGGCAGGCAGGCGCTATTCCAGCCGCTCGCCCCTGCGCCGGGCTGGGGCGGGCGCGCCGCCTCCGGGCAGGCGGAGAGGATTCCAGGGACTCGCCTCGGAGGGGGAGGGGAGTGCGCCCAGGTTGCAGGTTCCGAGCCCGGAGCCCAGGTTTGAAAAGGCTTGGAAGCCCAAGCTCGGGCTTCTGGGGACTCCGCCGCTCAGTCCTGGGCGCCTGGTGCTACCCCGCCCCTAGACGCGCTCAGCTGCGGGTGGAAGCCCCCGCAGCCCCCCTCCGGGAAACCCAGCTCACGATCGGGCGGGCTGGGCGAGAGGCCTGGCCGAGCCTCCTCCTGCCGGGAAGCGGCCGGAGCTCTCCAAGTTCCGCGCGGACCCCGCCCCGCAGCGGGGCGCCAGCGGCGCGAGAGCGCGGCCCGGGGGCGCGTCCCCGGGTCTTCTCCTTCCGACGCGCCGCGGCCCGGGGCCCCGGGGGATGCGGGGGATGATGGTCCGGGAGCCGCGGGTCCGGCGCCCGGGTGGGGGCGAGGCAGGCCGCGCGCCACCGCAGCCCCGCGCAGCGCGTGCCCAGGTCCCCCGAGGCTGGTCTGGCCGGAGCCGCCCCGCGCCCGGCCGCGCGCCGCAGGCCGGGTCAGCCCCGGGAGGACGGCGGCCCGGCTGGAGGGCCCCTCGGCCGCCGCCTCGGGGTCGTGCGTCCCCACGCGGGCGCTTCCCGCCGGGGAGAGGCGCGGGGCCGGGGCGCCCCCAGCGCTGCTACGCACCTAGTTACCCGCGGGTCCCACATGGCCGGGGCCGGAGAGCCCGCGCGGGGACCTCCGCAGCCGCCAGGGAGCCGCTTCCCGGGGGCAGGGCGCGGCGGGCGGCGCGGAAGCCGGAAAGCCGCGGCTCCGGGCAGGGGCGGCGCACTGCAGCGGCCGCGCGGGCCCCCCCCTCCCGGGGACTCGGCTCCCCGGCCGTGGCGAGCAGGGGCGGGGGCGCGGGACCCGGGCTCCCCGACTGTGTGCAGCCGCAGACCTATTCCAAGTTTCCACGTAGTTGCGAGAGCCCGAAACTGTCACGTGCACGTCGCGGCTGGGTGGGAGGGGGTGTTTGTCACCGTGCTCCAAAGAGGCGTTTCGATGGCTCCCATCGGGCGTGTGAGCGCTCCAGTGGGTGGGCTCTCAGCCTTTGAAGAAAGAGCTTGAGTAGGCTACCACACCACACCACACCACACCACAGCACACACACCACAGCACACCACAGCACACCACAGCACACCACAGCACACCACAGCACAGCACAGCACAGCACAGCACACCACACCACACCACACACACCACACCACAGCACACCACACCACAGCACACCCTCTGGCATATTTTGTCGTTGCTGAATTGTGCGTTGAATTCTGCTGTTGTTAGCAGAGCTCCTCCACCATTGTCAGGGAAAATGATGAAAATGATCACTTAATGGCCTTGTTCCACCTCTTCTGCCCCCCTCCAGCAGAAACACTAGAGGAGGTTGTGGGTCACCAAATATGTCAACTCCCTGGTTGACCCCTCAATTCAGTCACTGGTTGGACTTCGAGTACTTACTGTGTGCTTGGTGCTTCCTTCTGAGGAGCCTGGGGATTCGGGTGGGGAGAGGCCGGTGGAGCCCCCCCGACTTCTTGACCCTTCCAGCTCACGGTGGAGCAAACTCTGACCACAAGCGGCAACTAGCAAGGATCCTTTTGGAGAGTCAGCGATGGCATAGGGAGATGGCTCGGTTCTCCCCGGCACGTCTCTCACACACCACTCCCCGCGGATCCTCAACTTTCCTGGGTCGGGGGATTATTTTCCTAAACGCCAAGGCCTGATCAGAGAGCGAGGCCCGCTGCGCTCTCTTGGTGCAAAGCTTTGGCCTACACTGCCTCCTGGCGGCTCCCCGTGCTCCCGGGGGACCACCACACCAGGTGGGCTCCATAGCTGGGGCAAAGACACCACAATGCTTTAGTGAGAGGAATCGTGCAGTTTCCAAACAAGCAGATAGGACTTGGTGTCACGTTGACACGAGTCATGCACAACAGCAGTGTACTTCCCTGGTCAATGTCTAGCTTATCACTAACTAGTGGTCTCCTTGCTTCTGGAGTCTCACCTCCTGCTATTTCTTCTCTGCATCAATCTTCCCCAAATATCTCATTATGTTACAGGGCAGGGAGAGGGGCAGCCCAACCCCAGCAAACCTGCCTATTCTATATAGGGTTCTGCCATCCGCAGCATTAACACAAAACATGAGGCTTTGATGGGAAGGACTTTAATACAATTAGGAAACAATACAGGAAAGGCAAAGAATCTAGTTTCTAAATTAAGCACCCAAAGTTACCCGTCCCCTCGTGGGGAAAACTCCATCCAAATGGGATTGGCCCAGAGCAAGGCCCCAAAGCCTGCCCCAAGTCTAAAGCATCTTCCAGTGGGGACCCACAGAAAAGGGTCAGAAACAACCAGACAAGCCCAGAAGGAAAAGAGCAAAATCAAAATCAAAATCAAGATAGAAGCTGCCATTGTCACCTCCCCACGGGTCTCACCCACATCTGTGTCACCCAGTCCACGGCCAAAAGATAAGCGCAGTTTCTTCACGAGTCTCTAGGCTCCATCTGCCTCCTCCAGGTCTCCTTCTGGCTCCATCCTGCTTCCTTCCTCAGTCTCCTCTGCAGCTTCTTCTCTGCCTGCTCAGCTCTACCCTCCCTTGGGTGGGGCAGGAAACCTGGAACCTCCCCCTCTCCTGGGGACCACCCTGTTACAATTGCATCACCTGCAGTTCAAAAGCCTTTGATGGCACAACCCCCTTGTTTATTAGAGAACAGATTGTGTAGTTGGGCATTGGAGACTCTTCACAATTTCCCCCTGTCCTTGGTGATTGTAACATGAAGCAAAGTTTGGGAACCTTGCTAGTTTCAAAGTAGTTGGAGCTACTTGCCATTTCCCAGAGAAGGGGTTCAAAAATGTGTCAACATAAGCTTCTTTGGTATGTTGATTATTTTGAATTAAAGTGCAAGGAGGACAGGGCTTCCTCGTTGATCGCTGGGTTGCAAAGTTGCCCACAGCCTCTGCAGCGCCGGTTCGATCCCCGGTTGCAGGCGAGGGTGCCATATGGCACAGCAGACCTCTCCTGCCGCCCGCTGCTCTCCTCAGCAGTGTATTTCCTCAGTCTGTCTGTTCTGTTTCCCACTCTGGCTCTGGTGAATTCTCTCATCCTCCTGCACTTCTGACTGTACCCAGTGCTTGTATAAATAAATAAATAAATCTTTAAAAAGAAAAAAAAAAAAGGTGCAAGGAGGACACTCTGACCCTCCTTTGTCCTCCTTAAAGTAGAAGCTAAATCTCTCATGTGAGAGTTATCTTCCCTATACCAGAAGGGCAAAGGGCATCTTTATCACCAGAGATATAGATGTCTGCACAAAGAAATTTTGTTAAACTAACCCACTGTCTTCTAGCTATACTTCCGCATTTATCACCCATTGCCTAAAGACCCAATACTTCACAGACTTATTGTTTGTCATCAAAAAGATATAAAAACTTCCTGCCTTGGGCCTCCCTGGTGGCGCAAGGGGTTAAGACACAACCTGTGATGGTGTCCATAGCCTCTGCACCGCAAGTTCAAATTCCCAGCCAGCCAGGGAGCTACCCACATGGCACAGCAGACCTCTCCTGTCTTGCCCGCTGCTCCCCTCAGCAGTGTATTTCAGTTAGTCTGCTTGTTCTTTTTTTTTTTTAAAGATTTATTTATTTATTTATACAAGCACTGGGTACAGTCAGAAGTGCAGGAGGGTGAGAGAATTTACCAGAGCCAGAGTGGGGAGCAGAACAGGCAGACAGACGACACTGCTGAGGGGAGCAGCGGGCGCGACAGGAGAGGTCTATGCGCCATGTGGGACCCTCACCGGTGGCCGGGGATTGAACCAGCGCTGCAGAGGCTGCGGGCAGCTTCGTAGCCCAGCATTCAACCGCTGCGCCACCATGGAGGCCCGGTCTGCCTGTTCTGTTCTCCACTCTGTCTCTGGTGAATCCTCTCACCCCCTCCCACACCTCTGGCCTATACCCCCATTCCTGTATGCATAAATAAATAAATCTTTTTTTAAAAAAATTCCTGCTCTGGCCACTTCTTCAAGACCTTATTCTCAGGTGAAAAGCTCCAATGTACATGTAAAATTTGTATGCCTTTTCTTTTTAACCTATGAATCTGTCGTATATCAGTTTAATTCTTAGGCCCAATGGAAGACCTTAAGAAGGTATAAGAGAATGTTTCCTCCCCTACACCTGACATCACATCTTACTTGTATATGGAATGTAAATAGCCAAACAAAGGAATTGGCAAAACACAACAAAAATAACACTTAGACTTTTTGAAAAATACCAAGGGGAAGGAAAGTGGGTCTGGGAGGACTGGGTAGGAGAGGTCAATATGATAGTGTGGTGGCACTAGGACTTGGGTGGGCAAAGCATATATCGAGGTATGAAGCTGTACTCCCCAAATTATATAATATTACAAACCCGGGGAAAGAAGATAACATTTCATTTAAAAAATTAAAATAGGGCCTCCCTGGTGGTGCAGCGGGTTGAGCACCACGCTGTGAAGCTGTCCGCAGCCTCTGCAGTATGAGTTCAATTCCAGCCGGTGGGCGAGAATCCCACATGGCGCAGCAGACCTCTCCAGTCACATCCGCTGCTCCCCTCAGCAGTGTGTTTCTGTCGTCTGCCTGTTCTGCTCCCTGATCTGTCTCTGGTGAATCCTCTCACCCTCCCACACCTCTGGCCAGTACCCCAGCTCTTGTCTAAAAATAAATAAATCTTTAAAAAATAAATAAATAAATAAATAAAATAAATAAAAAATTAAAATAAAACAAGATACCATTTTTAGTTTT